GTATACTTAAATCTTTAAAACTACGCGACGGATTTTGAAGCCGTTTATATAATACATATATATATATATATATAAACTTCCTCTTGAACCACTCTATCTCTTAAAAAAAACCGCACCCACCCCGTGCGTAATACACCCGTGCGAAGCCGGGGCGAGTAGCTAGTACGAAATAAATAAAAAACGGATTCTCGAGATCATTGCGTTCCCATGTGATTTACCGATACATTATCAGTGATAACATATCGCCGTATCTGCTCAGTCTCACAGCCAAAGATAGAAATAATCCGGTGCCACCAAAAGAAATGGTGAGTTACCTATTATAATAAATTTTATAATTAATTCATCAGTCATTAAAATATCGCGCGCGGTGACGCCCCACTATCAGCAATCAATATACTTAGATATATATCTAAGATTTGTGTTTGTGTTGAAAATGTTGACGTTTCTTGTTGGTTTATTTGTGGTATTCCTATATGTTCTTTCGTTTGTGAGTATTTCGTTTTAATTTTATAGTAATTAGTAATATGAAGTTTAAAAAGTGATTATAATTTCATAGAAATGTGGTGTTCTCAGCTCGACAGCACTCCGAACTGACAGTAGATTTGACATCATAAGTCTGTAATAGACCTATATGAATAAAGATAATTGATTTGATTTTAATAGTATGTGAAGGTAAATAGAAAAATATGTGAGGAAGGAAATAATTGGCTGTATATTTTGTTGTTCTTGGCTCGACAGCACTCCGAACTGACGGTAGATTTGACATATCATAAGAGTCTGTAATAGACTTATATGAATAAAGATATTTGATTTGATTTAATTAGTATGTGAAGGTAAATAGAAAAATATGTCAGGAAAGAAATAATTGGTTGTATGTTTTGTTATATTCTTCATAGTTATCTGATCATGTGATGACGCTATCGATAAGAAAGTATTGAATATATGTTGGCGTTTTCCAAAATATTTTCTTTGTGCGTTTGATGATGGAAGGGTACACCCTGCCTGTGTTAACGGTATACGCTGACGAGGCACCAGTGGACGATGATGAGCATGAAGTCAGATCACACTAGTAGAGGGTGATGAGTGAAGTCCGATCAATTAAGACTAACAGAGAATCTATGAGAAATAACTGCAATGGTTACCAGATGAGATCGCGTGGACGTCGACCTGTTATGTTTACATTGCAATGGGCTTTTTCCCATTTCTGACAATCAAACTTATTTATTATATGTATGTATATAAAATAATAGCAATAATAATCCAAGGCAATATATGCCAAAGTATATCTATATGTGTCACATACTAAGCAAAGCTTCTAGGGGTACTAAACAATCGACAGAAAGAATAAAAGATATACTATACTTATTCATCCTTTTCTTCGTCTGTCTGTTTACTATGTAAATAACAGTGAAAACCAATCACACTCGTGAATATAAATGTAACACGAGATCCTCTCCGATCGATCCCCCGTCCAATTCAAACAGGGATCGATATTACGACGGCCTGAGCCGAGGCTCGAACCCCCGCGGTGCTCTCAGACTGAAGTCGTATCCGTCAGGAGGGAGTTGGCCTTCAGCCGCTCCATAAGATCCGCCGGTTTGGAGTGCCATCTGCACTCGCCCCCTATCGTCCGATAGCTGTAAAGGCCAGCTGCGGCCAAGCATTAGAGTAGTCCGAAAAAAAAGAGAATAGAACCCGGAGAAGGTAAATTGACCTTGTATTGTTCTTGTAGTTTTAGATATATTACATACACAAGTAAGTACGTATTATTAATAGATACTAATTTATCTATGTAGATATTAATTATTACCTACTGTTCATTAGTTTGTTAATTAATAACAAACTACAGATAACAAATCGATTAGAAATACATAGATGTATTTCGAGACATAACGCAATGGAAATCTATATGTATAAATTAGTGTATTCTATAATTTATAAACTGTGATCGATTTAAATTTATATTTATTTAGATACCACAGATGCTACTAATCTAATGTGTGTGTTCTATTTACTTATAAATGATGCTATTTAAACTATACTACAAGTCGGCTTAAATAACTCTTTTGTAAAAATTAGTGTTAGTTGATAGTTTGTATTTACACGTTTCAACTTGAAAAAGGTGAACTTGAAAGGATTATTTAAAAGAGCAACACACAAGTTTCTTGCTCGTTCTTCTTGTGTTAAAACAGCTTTCCGAATGAGCGGTAGATTAAAAAAAATGTTTTGACTTAAGTTAAATTTATTTTATTACTTACTATTGAAAAATACTATTAAATGAATGGGCAATGAAGGAAATGAAGTAAAAAATGGGCCTTTTATAGGTTTTTAAAAGTTAACCTTAGGAGCCGCGCGAAAGCAGTCTATTTACGATAAAGGAAAAATAAAGCGCGAGTGGACTCGTTGCTATTTTTTTTAATTTATTATATATGATTTTAAAAAAATATTAGAATATTGCACTCCTTTTCTATATAACCTATAAGTGTATTTAAACTATAAATGTGGTAGTACTGTAATAATATATAATAATCCACAAAGGGGTACAAAGTTTTTGCTTCAAATATTAATGTAGGTACATATAGATAATGAAATCTATAATATGTCTGTATTTACAAAAAAATATCATTTATCTAGCAACATAACACAAGCTTAAACTAGCTTACCTTGAGACTAGATGGCGTTGTGTGAATTATTTAAAATAAAGATAAAAAAATGTTATTGAATTTATTTATTTATTTATTTTAGGAAGAGTAACGGTGTATTTTTTACATGTTACTAGTCATATTAAATTGTCTTATGCCAATAATAAATCTTCGCCAATAGTATTACTAGATAAAATTTTCTCATTATCAACCACATCGTGGAATCACCTTCCAGCAATGGTATTTCCGAACCGATACGACATTGAAACCTTCAAAAAAAGAGCTTATTCCTTTTTAAAAGGCTTACTTGCAATTCCCCTAGTGTTGCGGGTGCTCATGGACGGCGATAATCACTTACCATCAGGTGAACCGCATGCTCGTTTGTCCTGTGTTATAAAAAAAGTTCAATTATAACAAATCAAAGTAATCTAAATATATATACCTCAAAGATGACTGACATAGTGATCTATCAACGCACAGCCCAAACCACTGGACGGATCGGGCTGAAATTTAGCATGCAGGTAGATGTTATGACGTAGGCATCCGCTAAGAAAGGATTTTGATTAATTCTACCTCCAAGGATGAAAATTTGTATGAAACTTTGTCAATTTTAAACCGATCGGGCCAAGACTTTGCATATGCATGCATAAAACTACTATGACGTAGGCATCCCCTAAGAAAGGATTTGATAAATTCCACCCCTAAGGGGATAAATTAACGCGAGCGAAGCCGCGGGCAAAAGCTAGTTAGTATATAAACAAATGATAGTGAAACCTGATGACAAACTGCCAACCCTACAACATGCACTGTACCTCCGTAGGTATGTTACGTCTTAGTATGTTTAGTCACCAGTACGCTACGTATCGTGAACGAGTCGTAATCTGTAACAATAAACAGATAAATATCATATAATAACACGGAACAAACTATTGCATTCAGAGATTATGTACAATTTCTTCAGCAGCATTGTCGGTGACTATACCAGTGGGAAGACAGATGAGGTTATTAATATTCGTTTCCTATTATTTAATAAGAAAACAAAAGCAAATCGCCTTATTGTGATTATAATTGTATTCTTAAACTGTGTACTACCGTACACAGTTTTAAAAATCATCACAAAGAATACTTATTAAAAAAACAAATTTTAGGCATTCCACAGAAATTTCCTTGGCTAGCGATTGCCATCTCACGTAATGATTTTTAATATTTTTTTTTCTATGTTGCTCTTATTAATATTTTCTTTTTTTCGTTTAATCCTTACAGTTAAAATTATATCACATTATACTCTGAACTATTTACATTATTTTTATTATACACACACCGCACAGACAATCACCAATAATATTGCTCTTTTTATTTTATATTTATTTTAATTATTAATTTCACGTACCCTTAAATGGGTTAAAGATGAAAATCAGTGTTTTGTTCCTTGAAGAATGTTCCACGCTGAGCTTCGACCTTTTTGTATTGCTACAGATACATAATAACACAATTTTATAAATCTTATGTCGTATTATGTATTGTCTATTCTTATGAACATGTCGTGTGTGATTAGTAACAAACAAATAAACGATATATCTATCTATCATATCTATCTATTCTTTAATATATTGTTTACTAGCTGACCCGCGCGACTTCGTCTGTATCACACTTATCATTAGGTATATATACTCCAATTTACATATCTTTTTAAATTATAGGTATGTGTTATTCTGATGTATAAGCTAAATTACTGCACTACTACCTGTATATAATATAGTATCATATTATAGTAAAAGCTAATTTATTCATATCTTTATTGATTAAAAGAAAATTATTAAATTTTAATATCATTTATAAATTTTACTTAAATGAAGTTAGTCAACCGATATCTATAGCAATACCGTATGCCAAAAAATCACTTAACATGTTGACGTCAAAGCGAAGTTTGTACGTGGTATGAGGGCAATAGCCGTCCAAAACAAAACACTCCTAAGATACTAGACTATAGTGGCACTAATGTGTATTTACCGATGTGCAAGAAGCCTAGTTTTAGGAACAAAATTTTAGTTTTTCGTTTTCCACTAAACTTTCCCGTTTTCGTTCCAATTTTAATTTTTTTAAATTAATTAGAACAAAAATTATTTAGAAACAAAATTAAGCAGCAAGTTTCAAACTATACTTCTACTATTAAAAGAATTACAACAACATATAGTGTTAATTTTCGAACATCACTTCCTACTGTCGTCAATGTATTAATAAATAAATGAAGTAAAAAAGCCTTTTTATTTCTTGCTTTTATACAAAGTGTTAATTGTAAATTATTTTACCTCTATTTATTGTCAATGTGTTAATAATGAAATGTACTTCTAATTCCAGGTGATCGTCAGATATCAGAAGATTGAATTCGATCGCAAGATACCAGAGAATGGTTCTGGCGGGCGCAGCAGCGGTATCCACTCTGCCAGCCCCAGTCCTACACCCTCGGAGCGCTCCTCTCCGCGCTCCCTAAACTCTACACATAGAGATATCAGCCCACCTGTAAGTAACCACCTCATAAACTGCCTTTACACGTACGCTCTTTGCACGCGAATCGCCTTTCACACAGGAAATAATGAGTTTGTAAATGTAGACAAAGAAACAAGAAAAACCGCGCGCGCCGCTATTTCGCGCATTAACGCGTTCTTCATGCACTTTAGTGCCTGTAGATTTGATGTATCATAAGAGAAACTCTACACGTAGAGATATCAGCCTACTTAGGAGTATCCTCCTCATAAACTGCCTACACATACGCTCTTTCAAATGCGAATCGGCTTTCACGCAGGAAAAAATGAGTATGTAAATGTAGACTAAGAGAACGAGGAAGACTACACGCGCCGCCAGGTAGCGCATTCCCGCCTTCTTCCTGCGCCTTTTTGTAGATTTGATGTATCATAAGGGTCTGTAGTAGACCTAAATGAATAAAGACAACTTGTTTTTGGTATTGCTCATCTTAAATATGTAGTTCTAAAAAAAAGTCCGCGTCTGCACTGCAATTTTCAAAAGAGCGACACACAAGTTTTTGTGATAGGTCTACATTCCGAGTGAGTGGTAGATTAAAAAATATTTGACTATTTAAAAATGCTTGTATTGAGTTTATTTGAATAAAAATTATTTCTATATTTAATTAATACCTATTGCTACCAAAAATTACTATTAACATGGTTCCCATAATAAATTCCAGCTTCACGAAGTGGACGCATCATCAGAATGGGAGGAGGGCGAAGGTGCAGAGGATGCGCAGGTGTTACCCAAACGCATTCCTTTTCCAGAATTCGGTGGAGACATAGTACATAATACCGGTAAGTGTCTAAAATTAATAATAATAAATAAATATTCATAATTTATACTATTAACCACATAGATAACCACAAAACTTTATGTTAATGCTAAATAACATTGTGAAGAGACACAAACTGATGTTTAATACTATGCAAAATTCAAACACTTATATTAATTCTCTTTGTGGTAAAGATTTATGAATATGTAAATATGTTATTGTACTTACCTTTCTTCGTGAAATGCAAAAAGCGTTAAATATACATGTAAGAGAAGTAGAACTTGAAATAAAATCCTACACCACCCTAATCTGAAACTAGTGTCAGGTAATGCAAAGACCCAACAATTAAATGATAAATAATTATGTATATGTAGTCATAATGATGCTGATAAGGTCATTCAAATGAGTTAATTGTTTATTGCATAATAACGAATACCTAAATAAGAATGTGTTTTGGCAATATTTTAATTAGAAAATGACTACAGGTAATATATTAATAATGTTATTTGTAATTTTAACCATAACTCCCTATTTTATATTTAAGATAATGAAGATCGCGACTTCGATGAAGTGTCCGGCAGCGATATACAAGCAGTGGATGGTAGTTGGGAAGAAAACTGGCTCTTCCAAAAGAAAAAAATTAAAACCATTCAATCAGTACCAGTGCCGATGTTAGTCCCAAATAGTAACACTGAATACCGAGCTCTCATAGGTGATAGAGATGCTGACGACACAACAGATCTATCAGACAATGCCAGTGATGGTGAAGAAGAGGCTGAGTACAAAAGCGATATTAAAAGAGTCCTAGATTCTAAACACGTAATTGGTGGTAAATCTAAGATAGATGAAGTATTGGATTTCGAACCAGATAGCCTAACGGTAGAAGCCGAATCTGGAGACTTTGAAAAGTTTGACGAATTCCCAGACAATGGTGTAGATGTAGTAGATGCAGTTAATAACAGCTTACAAGACAAAGATTTCACAAACGAGGAAAACTCAAATACAATTGACATGGAAAATGAAAATGGGAATGATTCAGTTTTACTAATTGGTATTGATAGCGGTCCATTGCCGAAAGCAGAGTTCAATTTGAAAGAAGAAATACATAGGACTGTACTTAACGGTAATATAGAAGACTATAATGACTTCAATGATGCAAAACTTACTAATGAGGAAACAATGAAAAAGGACACTTTTGATAGTTTCTCCAGTCATAAAGGTATGGCGATGTAGAATACTCAGTACTCACACTGCTTAAAAATAGGACAAAAGAAAACTAGAATTTCATTTGAAACCTTAACTGTTTTAGGATCAACAACCATACAAAGTCGTCACGAACGAGAGGGGGAATATGAAGAAACTGTTACCGTTCCAGTACAGAGATATGCCGATAGTCTGCGAAGAAAACACTTTGACGATTATCCACAGGAGTAAGTAAATTTGTTTTGTATTTTATATACAACTTGTTTTATACCAAATTCATTCTAATATTCGCTATAAAGTTATATGAACACTATCAAGAAGTCATTATTTTTATTTTTCATAGAATACCAACTCGTGATACGGACAAAGAAGATTTAATACCAGGTAAATATCACAATAATATATTCATACTTCAAAATAATTCGATATTTTATCAACTTTTTTCAAATTAGCAGTATTAAATTAGCAGCAGCAGCAAGCAGTATTAAATTCTATGTTGATATTATTGCAACTGTAAGATTTTCAAAAATAGTACAATAGCTTAGTAAAAAAACAAACACGTATTAATTTATTAGAATTATTTCGTAAGAATAGATGAATAGATTTATAAAGAAAAAAAAAATAATTATAACTGTTAATAAATGTTAAAATAATAATAAAATCATTAAACTTCTAGGATCGATCGCGTACAGAGAACGTAAGAAATGGTTGAACTATGTGGAAATGCCAAATAACCCTTATTCTCCAGAAGCAATACAAAAAAGGCTGACGACTAAAAGTGCCTCTTCTTTATTTGACACGCTGACTGCTAAAGCAATGGATCAAGAAGATCTTGATACAAAAGCTTCAAAAGAGATAGATGATAAAGAAGAGATCCCAGTTAAGGAAGAGAAAGAAAGCAATTCATTAGTGCTTGATACTACAGTAGCTATGAATGGTACAAGATCCAAAAGTCCTTCGCCGAGAATTTTAAAAGATGTTCTAGCTGATGACATTTCAGAATATAAACGGTATGTAACAGTTTCCACGATATTTTCTTTAATTATAAGCGCAAGCACTAATGCAAATTATTCTATTTGAAAAAGTTTTAAATACATATCTAAGGAATGCTAAATTGAACGATGACAATTATCAGAAAGTAGTTGTCGAGATCAATATCGCGACAAATTATTTTGGATAAAAATACTATTTTAACAATAGATGGCATGGCTTGTATTATTAAAATAATATTATTTCCATTATATAGCAGAAAATAGAATCAACGCAGATATGTGAGAGATAGGGATTCGAATTCTGCTATAGAATATTAACTATATAAAATACGTTGTACTAATAATTTTCAATCTCTTTCAGTTACGGCAGAGATTATTACATAAAAGATGCCCGAAATGCATGTGGGGCTCGCAAGAAGAATAGTTTCAGCGACACGAGCTCCCTGTCATCAATGAACAAATCTACAAGTTTAGACAATTTCGATACAGAATTATCGCCTGTAAGTGCTAGCAGCTCATTGAGTGACCTCGAAGCGTCCGCTCTTCATCAGAACATCGTCCGCGCCGTTCTCAGCCCACGAAATGCAAGCCCCAACTTCGCCATAAATCCTATTTTCGAAAACCCCGATAGACAGAACGATAACGCTGACGAAAATCATGTGACAGACAAGCGTAAAATCAGTCAAAATGCCAACGTAAGACAACAAAGTAGAACTGTGTGCGAAGGTGACGGTTATGTGGAAAACGAGGATATAGTTAGACTTAAAATACCACAAATACCAGAGATTACTGAAGACCTTTTCGAGACGTATACGAATGTTAGGCGGAGCAACACTCTAAGAAGCGAAGACCTGTGCATTCGCTCTAAGCGACGGCCTGGTCTCAATTATACATTCGGTGGAAGTCTAAGGTTAAACAAAGGTTTTCGTAATGACCTCTGGTGAAACCTTCTCTTATTTCCAAATTGTCTAATACACCTTCAATCTCAAGTAGCACTTATACTGACAATGTAATCAGTCCTACCGATATTTCCCCTTATGTACTATACGAATCTCTTACTATGTATAATACTTACATAGCTGTCCAAAAATATGCAATATTAGATGTAGAAAACTAGGATAATTCTATCATCACAACCACCTTTCATAAAACGTTCAATTGTGGTGAGAGGATCTGCTATCATTGCTAAATCGTCCACAAAAATCTAAAATATCTTCGTTTTGACACACAGTAGCTTGTTGTGTGTAAAAGTTGGCATGTTTTTGTTGTATAAGAATCCGCTGACTAACAGCACTTTGCACATATAACTATGATGGTATTTCTAGTACTGCACTTATACATGTGTCCTATTTAATGAACATTTTCAGTACTATTCCTACTACAGTAATCTTCCAAGAAGTTAGTGGTGAGTGTTGTACGATTTTGCCCAAAAATTATGACTAACTGCATTGGATGGCTTGTCTGTGAACTAACACCTTTAACGATATTAATCATATTCTTACACGACTGACTTTATGTACCACCTACATTTATATCATCTACATTATAATCTCATATCAGTATGGCATGTTTGAAAATTGCACGTTTATATTTATTTTTAGAGCACGCAAACCACCACGTTGTATAAAATGTAAATTTATAAATTGATTTAGCACGAATTGGGGCTTTTAGATGGCGTTATAGAATCTTTTCTTATAGTTTAAACTTACTGTGTAATATAATAACTGTATATGCTAAACATTATACTTCATATCGATATTAAACTTTCAGGGATTACTTATAAAGCAATTCAACACGATTGCTGAAAACCAACAGTATACGACCTTCACTAAAAACCAACCAAAAGAGTCCATAACCACAAACTCCGATAATAATAAAATAGATATTATGATAGAATATGACGACGCCAATGAAAACACATTATTTAACGCCAAGCCAGTGATTGTCGATGATGACACAGACCAGAAATTTGAAGAAATATTGCAATCTGCCTATAACACAGACACTCCCATAGTGAATAATGAAATAGATAAAGCTACTGACGAACCTTTAAAATCGCCATCAAATTTTAGCGTAGACAACTCTTATATGAGTACAAGTAGTTTGGAAGATTCAATTAAGATCTACAATGTGCAAACAGGCGAGATAATTAAATGTCAACCCGAAGATAAGGTATCTCCAAGACATGAAGTTGTAGATGACAGTATAGATACACATGATAAGAATGTAGAGGAAACCAATATCAGTCTCAGTTCAAGTAGCAGTGTAGAGATAGATACATTGACCGAAGAGGAATGTTTGAAGAAAGTCTCGGAGATTGGTGAAGTGGATGATATTTTAGCGAAACTGCCCAAAGTGAAGGAATTGGCTAAAAAGTTTGTTAGTATGGATAATTTAGATGAGCCGGCAAAGGTCAGTTAACATATTACGATGTATAATTATAACATTAATGATAATTTTAAAATGACAGCTTACTGTTGTTACATCCTTAAGCAATACACAGTATTAACAATTCAGGTAGAAACCAATTTGGAAAGTGATTATTTCTAAATTGCTATTCTTTTTATTTTCCTGTGAATAGTAAACTATTATTACTATTTATCTTAATCATCTTTTATATCTCTAATTCAGTAAGGTAAAATATTATCCTAAATAAATTATATCTTTCTTCCAGCCACAACAACAGGCTATAAAGCGGCGAAAAAGCAAAGAGAACATCCTAAATTCAGAGAAACCATCAAGTAAAGTCTATATGCACAGTCTGACAGCCAGAAGCGTCTCCAAGGAATTTAGAGAAGAGCTAAAATTATCTAGACCCAATCCAATCACAGTCCCCGGTGGCTCTAAAGAGATTCCAGAAGGAGAAGACGTCACAAAGGAATCTAGCAGACCAGGCAGCCCACAACCAGAGCCTGGAAATCTAAAATCTAAGTTAGCGTTCTTCGAAAGTCTCAAAAGCAAATTTAGTAATAGCAAGGGAAAATGATTTTTATAGATAACAATATCTCTAATTTAAATGTCAAGGTCATAATTTATTTTATTTATTCATATTCCAAGTATTACAAATATTTATACATGCCTATTTGTGTAGTAGAAACTACTATTGCTATTACTGAATTAGGTCGTGAACGTAATCTCTTGAAGTGTTTGATACAAAAAAATGATAACATATTGTGGTTGCACAATATCATTGTAAGGTATTATGTCGTAAATTCCATATTCTATTTGTGTGACTCGTTTAATAAAAGCGAGTATCAATATTGTAATCCCGTAGACAACTGATATCACGTACTTTTTACATGATTTTCTGTGCATGCGTTCAAATCTAAGGATTTCAACTACAACTTGTTTAAAAAATGTAAACAATTCACGTAGTTGAAACAATTCTGAATGATAACGTGATACTAAGAGTATACCTTTTCAAACGTACCATGATGTAACATCAACTGTAGGTTATTTTGTAACGTATATTTTTGTGGACGATATTAATTGTATAAAATATTTAATATACATTTAGGTTACGGTGTAAATAAGTTAGTGCCATTTTTCTAAACTTCATTGAACGTCATCATTTCGACAGTTAAGTTGTTAGCGAATGCCAAAGTTGTATATAAACATCATATTACTGGGTATATATGTATATTCTGATAGATTTATAAAGCCATTTCCTCGCACCACAGCTTTCTTAATAAAGTTGCTATTGGCATCTTTTATACACTTCTAAACTTCATAAATTATGAATGAATTTTAATATAGGTTTATCCATCATTCAGATATTTTAAGGATACATCTTCGCCTTCTGTTTGAATATACAGATTTAATATCTAAGGATTATAGAACCAAGAAAGATTTGTATGTCTATTATAGTTAACTATATGTAATTAAAATTTTACGTAATATAATATTCCATGTACATAAATTAATATTTTTTATTATTTAAAATTAAATATTATTTCAGAATCGAATCAAAACTAGGCTACGGCAACCATTTACCATCAAATGCCGTACCTCAAGGGCCGTTTTATCGATTACCAACTTTGTGATACAAAAAAAATATTTTATCTTATTATGGCATTATCGAACTTTTAACTGCAGATTTACATATTTTTTTTACATATTAATAATGTGTCTTCTTTTATAACATAACTTTTTAATTTAATTTCTATTCGATTGTGTTCAAAAGGCGGGCTGTTGGTCATATTTAATGATCCAATCTATTTTATTAAATGGAATGTCAAACAAACTGACAGTCCACCTGATGGTAAGCTGTAACCAATCTCTATACACATGAATAGCACTACGGACATCACGTTATCATGTGACACCCGTAATAACTCTCATCCTTACCGTTCAAGGACTAAGATGTCCCTCTCGTGCTGTAATTTCTGCCTATTGTCATGACTCTGTAATTTCTGTAATTTCTGCGTAATGCGATACCTCTTAATTTAAGTGTATAATCCAGTTATGTTGCGAGGAATTCAGCTAAATCTACTTATAAGCGGTGCAATAAATGACTCCCTCCTTATTATGTACTGTGGGACCATTAATACTATTGTGATAAAATAAAAATGCAAAAAATAACAATGATTATATGTTATTACAAAAATATAAATAATAAAATTGATATAACAATAAATGTATATTATTTGTTCCATGGCTTGGGTATTTACCAACATATTTACTGTATATAAAATATATCATTACTATAGCAACTTTGTCAGCACAAATGTTCATCCCTAACGGGGATGAACCCTTTTGCACCTTTTTATATAGTAAACAGCCTATTTCTTTCCTTGAGATACTATGTATCTACTTATTGTTATTCTAATTTATATTTTATAATTACCAAAATATTTTCGGTATATAAAATATATTATTACTATAGCCATACATACAAAACGAATATATACTAGCATTCCTTATTTCAACCCGGTCAAATTCTTTTTTAGATAGTAAATAGGCGGAGTATGACTTAGTGAATGTAACTATTGTTTGCTGGACAAGTGTTTCTATGATACTGGTGACTATATTCGATAACATTCTATGTATTATATACGTATATATATAATATACAGGAGACTGCCAGCGTAGTGGCAACTCGCATATGCTGAGCAAAGACCTTTCCGTTACCACACACATATCAGTGCTACAATTATTTTTATAACCTTTTTTTTTTTGTACTTTTTATTATTGTTACTTACATGCATAAATATATTTTTCTTTCCTTTCTTTCTCCTTATATTAATTTACAAGACATCTTATATTGATTAAGTATATATCGAATATTTTTTTTATATTTTCTTTCTTCTTATATTAAGTTATAAATCTTGTTATTGTCAATTAAGTATAAAATTAATAAAAAATACCCAACGTCTTGTGAAAAGGTATTACTTCTAATTCATCCGCGTACTTTCTCCTGTAGCACCACAAATAGTAGTCGATAACACTTGAATTTGGCACTTGTATGTTCTTGTTACTTTTCTTTATCTTCTGTTCAATTACTTTCTTTAAAAGTTCCACGGCTTGAATTGAACAACCTCTAATTTCGATCTCTTCCTCTGAACCACTTTCAAGCAATATATCTGAAAAAAAAAACATTTTCACAACTATTCTCCTCTACCCAAAAGTTGACTGTAAGATATAACTTATGCGATAAGACCTTATTACTCTAATTTATGTTCTTTGTAATAAAGGGTTACTAACCAATAAAGGGTAAATAAATAAATACACAGGATAATGAGAATCACTCTTAGATGTAAACGTCTTACTTCCAATATTCGCGGGTTCGATTCCTCGCACGACACAAACATTTTCAGTCATGAGTATGATTGTTTGTATCGGTCTGGATGTTTTCTATGTATACGTAATCAGCGAGGCCGCTATCCAAAAAGCAATTTAGAAGAACTAACCTTTCTTCAATTTCTCCATTATTTCGTCAGTGTAGCTCAAAACTCCGAAATACACCAAGACTTGAGGGATTCTATAGTCCGCGAACATTGTTATGGCATCAATATCCTCGAATTCCCCCCAAGAGGTGCCACCAAAGAAGTTCCATATATCGGCAATTAAAATCTGTGCTCGTTTGTACAAAGATACCTTACTACCCTTATACTCCACTTCATCTCGGAAGCATGGAAAGTTATCTACTACTATCTGAAGCAATTTCACTGCGGACTTGTTAGCATCTTTAATACACGAGGTGAAAGTGCCGTTAAATTTCTGCAGTAACACTGCTCCTACTTCATGAAGCGTGGATAATCTCTTTTCGAATAACGGTATGCTTGTATTGTTATCACTTCTCATTATGTTTCGAAGTTGGTCTTCTGTAATCTTTGAGTAGTATTCTGGATTTGTAATGTCGTGTCCTTCCTGGAATAATACTTATTATGACTTTATTTATATATGGGCGTGGTAACTAACGAGAGATGCTTTTGAATCTTTACAGGACTGCCTTACCTGCAATGGCCGCGAGTTCGATTCCTCGTACAGAACGAACATTCATGAGAATGATTGTCGTTATTGGTCTAGTTGTTTTCTATGTATGTTATGTATATATTATATTAAAAAAATACATCTAAGTATTTATATCAGTTGTCTAGTACCCAGAACACAAGCTTTGCTTACCTTGGGCCTAGATGGCGCTGTGTGAATATAAAAATACTGCCATCGTGGAACACTACACCTTAGAATGGCAATACATGTGGTCTACCTATCCTGTAATTTTATTGCCATGTCCAATCCATCAAAATGAATCGCTGCTTTTTGAGATACTCATACAGACTTGTACAAAATCAGTCATCAAACAATTCAAATTTCCAATTCAAACGGGAATCTAAATTACGACGGCCTGAGTTGAGGTTCGTGCCCCTAGCGGTGCCCTCAGATTAAAGTCGTATCCGTCTGGCTGGAATTGGCCTTCAGACGCTCCGTAGGTCCTTCCTTGGGTTTAAAGTGCCACCTACACTCGCCCCCTATCGTCCAGTGAAGCTGTAAAAGCCAGCTGCGACCAACAGCATTAGAGGAAACTGCATGGCAGTTGAAATAGATTAGACAGATGACTTTGTATAAAGTGTGTTGTATAACAATAATTGTGTGTGTCTTTTATTGTCACCCTCAATATAACTTTTTATCAAAAAAGTCAAATATGTAGAGTACTAAAATATAATCATTCCATGATGAGTCATATTACAAAACATGTTTCTAAAATATAAATGTGTTTTAATCCATAATAAAGTGTATAGCAGGTGGGTGTATGATCATCATTAAAAAAACATAATAATTCACCTTAACAGCTCTACTGAGTGCAGCCTCCAGTGCATAATAACCGTGATGTCCCTCCACAGTCCACTTCTCAGCTCCAGTAAACGACCAAAAGCAAAAATTAAGGGTGTCGGCCACAAATATCCAGTCAACTGCTTTTGGGTCATCTCTACTCAGATAGGAAATGTTGGCTCCAGTGTCTGGTATCTCCAATTTGTCTTTCATTGACAATAACATCTAAAATAACAACAATTGCAATGTTTATTTTATTTTTTTAATGGCCTCAGCGGTTAACACACTGCTTCACTTCCGATGGTCATAGATTTGATTCCTTGCACAGCACAAATATTTGTATTCATAAGTGTAATTCTTTGTATCAGTCTGGGTGTTTTCTATAATATATATATTGTGTATGTATTTACAAAAAAATATCCATATACTATATCACTTGACTAGTACACATAATACAAGCTCTGTGTACCTATATTTCTGTTTCTTGCTTTCTCTTTCTGTGTTATAGAGGAAACAAAGACGAGAAGAAAGGTGAATGGAATCGAAAGGATGATGATATAAAAATGAAAACAAAATATGACTAGATATTAATGATTATTCATTCAAAGGTTTAAATATGCTAATTTGTAATAATTTTATTGACATTCAATAATAATACAATGATAATAATAATGATAAAGACAGGCTAACAATGATAATCAACAGACAAAGTTGAAACAATGAGATATTATTATAGTAAAGGAATTTTGATCCAGGAATAAATATTATTTAGGAATACCCACCATATGAGGATTCTCATAATAATAAGAGATTTTTGGTTTTGGATTGAGGTCAATTGGACCATCATAAATTTTTTTTTAAATTTTGAATCAGAAAATGGTCAAAATACTATTATGTATGAGTTTAAAGAGCCAAATAGTATGTATGTATGTACAATTAACAAAATGGCTAGGGTCAACAACAAAGGTGAGTAAGTATGTTGCAATACCTAAATGGTGCATATTATGTGTGTGAATTAATTAATATACCATAATTGTGTAACACAACTTAAATATATAAATAAATAAAGTAGACAGAGGAAAAGATGATTCAATGACATCAAAGAAATAACAGGGGAAAATTGGATGAGTGTAGCTACAAACAAATAATCTTGGAGCAAGTTGGAGGAGGCCACCACATGGGCCACCATGTGGGACCATATATAAAGAAACCAAATTAACTAATCTTGAAATATATATGAAAAAACTTGGAATTATATAGAAATATACAGCTTAATAAAAATTATAAATAAGTGCTTTAATCTCTCTACAATCTTCAAAAATTCTTGACCTATCTAGAACTGCAATGGGTTAAAGTAGAATGTGTATCTAAAGCTGCACTAGCAGATTTCTACCGAATTTAGCTGGGCAGGGAGAGAAACACTTGTGTGTTGATGTATATAGGCCCTAAAACTTACACCTGGGCCACAAGTCGCTGGAACAGCTCGGAGTTTCCCTCTCAGCAACAACTCGGTTTTTAATATTAATTTATGATATCTCTCAACATGAGCATCATGGAAAACCCATACAATAGATAGGCTGTGGTAACTGCTTACCATTGGCAAAAAAGTATCTACTGTGTTGGATATTATATATTTTTTTAATAGTATTTTTACCGGTTTTTAAGTTGTTATGATAATTATTATAGGTTAAGATTCCATACCTCTTCGGAAAGTTTCTCCAGACCCTCTTCATGTATTTTAACTTGTGTAGAGTGTTTTGCAATATACTCTGCAGATTCAGCCGGCAGTAATATTCCGTCGCGCGACATTTTTTCTTCTACAAAATAGTAGTATTAAAAATATATATCAATGCAAATGTATGATAATTAACTTAAATAGTTCAGAAAGTTAAACAGAAAAAACAAAATATGTAATATAATTCAGTTATTACTATTTATTATGAAATAATGAATCAATGATAATCATTGATAAGAGATGAAGTGATAACCACAAGATGAAAACAAACAAGTGAATGTCATTGTCATCAATCAATGTAAGGGTCAGTCAATGTCACTCACTATACTCCTTAGAGAATTAATAGTATAAACAATAGAAAACAAAAATCTATATCTATATTTTCGATACAAAAATTGATCTTAATACTATTGTGATAGTATTTTCACATTTTTAATATGAAGTAAAAATTAACATATGTGTTCTTAAAAAGCTATCTACTATAGTTTCTTTAACTTTCTTTTTAGGTATTTTTTACAGTCAAATCAGCACATCGTATATTTTAAGAAAAATCTTGTTTCAATATTTATTTATGCTGACAAAGTCAATCACTTAATTAATTATTGCTTTTATGACTAGAAATCGGTTATATAATAATATATATACTAAACTTATATATTATAGGCTTAACATGGGTGTACATATATTATACGTATAAGTTATTAAGAATCACTATTGCTAAAACTCTTACTATGAAAATGATCACTCACAATAGGATGCACTTTTCGTTATGCAATTTCTACATGATGCGAATGCGATTATGTATTTGTATAGAGAACTATATAAGTAATATAAAATAAATAAGCATAAGCAGCAATTAATATGTAGTAATCTTATGTCAACTCGAATTAAGTGATGAACTCGGTTGGAGACGCCAAAGCCGAAAAATTCTTATTATTTATTAAAAAAAAAACTTAAGTCAGTGTACTGACTTTTTGAGCAAATTTAAAAATATTTTATTTTCTATTTCTGCTTGTATTCGCAAGAAATATTAGTGTTTTCAGTTTTATTTGGGAAACAATAACTTCTATAAAGCAATTATGCCAATTGACGTGCAAGGCACGTTCGTATCACAAAAAATCAACAAGGTTAGATGGATACCAGAGGAGTATGTCGAAACAAAGTGTTTTTTCACCGGTAGTTGGGATGATGACGTTAATTCTGTAAAAGTTTGGACTTTTGAGAGCCTCCATGAAGAGGAAGAGGTTGAATATCCTCGGGTGCTTTCGGAGTATACAGTTGGCGGCGATGTTACTCAGATCAAATTTGTGGACAAAACCAAAATAGCAGTATCAACGTCTGATGGAAATGTGCGTTTGTTAGAAGTCAGTGCATATGAGAAACAAACACCACTTAGAAGTATATATGAGTGGGAAAAGTTGCATAATTACGGGTATGTGAACCACTTTTATCCTTATTTACTGACTGAGTATGTTTTCTATTTATTTATTAGAAATATTTCGAATATTTATTATTTAATTGCTACTTTATACCTTTTGATTGATCAATATACCTCTATTTTGTATAGATTTATAATTTTTATCCTAGTTCATTATGGTTTCACAGACCAAATCATAGGTAGAAGTTAGTCAATAATAAATTAATATTGAGACTATATTATCTCAAATGTACAACCAAAAAAATTTTAAACAAAAGAAGTCTAAGAAGAATTCTATTATTATAATAATTATAGAAATTCTTTATCCAAATAAAATTTAAGCATTTTTGAATAGTCATATTACTTATTTAGATAATTTACTTACTTACTTTCTTATGATGAGACAGCTTTCTGAATGAGCTCAGAAAGCTGTCTCATTATAAGAAATAAGAGCAAGAAATTTGCATGTTGCTCAGTTAAATAATTGAAGATGGGTGGTTAGATTGTTAAAATCCAACTCATTCAAATATAACACATATATAACCTCCACCTTTATCTACATATGAATTCATTAACTCCTATTTTTCTTTTTGAAATCTGTTTTTTTTTTTATATACAATAATACTATCTAATGGTTTTGTCTTAATTGTATTCCTTTTAAATTCATGATGCTGCCTCAATGAGTCAGGCACTGTCTGCAAATCTTTCCACCAGTCCATGAATGTCACACCTTTCAAGTCTAGAGAATCTTAGACTCCAATCCCCACATTTGTGCGGCCAGTTCATTACTGTGTCCATTTAATCTAGACTGGTAGTGTCTGCTGTAGGATTGTATTTCCTGTATTACAGTGCTTAATTTTATGTCCATATACATAAACTTGTTTAAAGGGGGGACCTTTCTAATTTTGTCTCAATAATAATTTTCATAAATTCATCCTTTATAATATCAAGTATCCCAACAATTTCCTTCATCTATTTTCAATAGTTATCAATATCTGTGTTTTTTCTTTCAACCTGTATAGTTGTCTTCGTAATTTCCTAGTTTGCCTAACCAGAAAATTCTTTCTATCTAGAATAGAGTTTGGATATAGCTTGTTAGCCTAGTGTTGACTGTTCAGCATTGAGTTGAGTCGTAGTTTGGTCACTGTACTGTATATGTTTAATTCTTACAATTAGTATGTGCTTTTATAATTAAACAAATTAACATAAATCCATTAATTAGTGTTTCATTTTATTTCAGAATAGAACAATGTTCATGTACATCTCTAGACACATTTGAAGGGGACATAGCAACAATTGGGGAAGATGGTAACTTGAATATATTAAATGGCAGAAGAGGGAATATTACTCGTACATTCACTGGAGCTGACAGCTGTTCATTACATTCTGTTTGCTTTATAAAGCACAATGAGGTAATTGTTTTATTATATTTTTGCTGTCTAAGATTTATTTCTTTCTACTTTAGTGATGAGCAATTATACTACCCTGGTGTTAGGTAAGAGGGAGGGATTTTTTTAAGAGATTTTAATTGAATAGTGCATCTCACTGCACTAAACGTTTATGCCAGCGGGGCACCAGTGCAGCATGATAGATAAACACAAGGTCAGGTCAATTGGTGACAATTATCACGATACTTTCCAGGGGAGCTGCTTGAAGAGTAATCTGACATGGTACATTGCTTAGACTACATTACTAACAATTCTCTTCCCACTGGAGGGATTCTGAGTAATGGGAAGTGGTGACCTCCATTTGGTCCTCCACTAAACTATCCTGGTTAATTTCCTGATGAATTAACCATGATGGGCTAACAGACCTGACTTCATGCACATCTCATAAACCTCTACTGGTCCCAGTCAACATATACCATTAGTGTAGGCAGGTGCATCATACCATATGGATCTATATGAAATGGTGCTCTCTATATAGTATAATGTTGGCCATCATGAAAATATAGTTTGTACATTTTTATGAAATATGTTAGTTTATATCTCGAATTTTCTGTATTGTACATCCCATCATCACATCATCTTTTTTTAAGCATTTTTAACCCCCCCTCCACCTTGGTAATACGTGGTGAGGTCGTCATTTTTGTCAGCCCCTTTCTAGCCTCACGTGATTAATGGATGGCCTCTTCACGTTTTGTGGTGAAGCTTTATTTAAAATTGTGATAATCTACTTTTTAGGTTATTACGGGTAATATACGTGGACACATGAAGATATGGGACCTCAGATCTGCTGAAAACAAACCTACAGCATCATTCCTCTTAGCCGGTGATGAACTGGCTGCAACCTGTATTGTGTACCACTTAACTCAACCTCACATAATCCTCGCGGGCAGCGAATCTGGATCTCTTGCTGTCTGGGATCTCCGTATGAACTCATTCCCTACCTCTTTACTAAATGCACACTCCTCTGGAGTTACCGAAATGCAGTTCCATCCAGAGAACCCAAACAGGTTGCTGACTTGTTCAGTATCAGGTGAAGTTTGGGATTGGAATATGGAAGGTATAACAAAAAGCACTAAAGGACCAGACAACCAAGTCACTACATGGATGCCCTTGGAAGATAAGAATACAATGACAGCAAACTCATTAATGCCCACTTTACATAAAGCTATTAATACTTTACACTGTGATAAAGATAGAATCCTTTGTGGTACGGACAACGAAGCTATTTATCTCCTAAAGAATTACAAGTACTGAGTCTCAGCAGTTTATCGTCTATGTTAAAATGGGAATTCGAATGTTTTCTATTTATTTTTCTATGTTTGCTATCAACATTTCTTAGAAACAGTCATACAGGCATTCTTTCTTTAAAAAACTAATTTTAAATTTCCTCACACACTTAAAAAGACAGGAAAATAAGTAATAAAAGAGGTTGGTATAATAAATGAAATGGTATTTGAATTATTCTGGATTTTTATTAAATAATACAGTAAATATACTTAGAAATATCATTACATACTTTATCCATAACACCAAGTCAGTCTTTGCTTGCCTAGTCAAAGTATTGGTAAAATATTATACAATAAAAAATCGTACAGTAAAGTAATGATTATTATTTACATAAAAATTAGTAAAGTTACATGGAATTCAGAATTAACTTACAATTTACAATATCAGCAATACAAGGCACCATATCTTATGATCTTTGCCAAAATGGTAACTAAAACAAACCAAATGAAAATGGCACCGAATAATTTTACACATTAACTATTAGACGTTTTCGTATATATTTTAAACCAATCATTTCTGCTGTCGCATATACAAAAGGAATATTTAAATCACTAAATTAAGAAATATGATGAACATTTGGCATCTTATTCACATTTATACCACACTAAATGCGTTAACTACAATATTAACACGTGAGTATATGTATAATTATTATTATAGATGATTATAATTGAATAATATTAATCATATCACTCAAATATTGTTCAGGAATTTATATTAAGCACAGCACAAACTTTGACTGAAAACAACATTCAATCATTAATATAAATAATACTTAAACGAGCACCATTCGAAGGTGAAAGTTCTCAGAGAGGGTAGAATATTACAATGTAATATTCTTGAAATGTGAGCAAATCGGAACGAAAGTCTATTCCTTGGGCCGCCTCCTTAGCTCAGGAGCCTTTAGAAGCACAATTTAAGGCCGCCTAAAAGTATTTCAAAATTGCAGCCAATTAGCAATGTTCCCATGAAATTTGTGCGATTCATTTTTCGGTTAATAGCAATGTTGATATTCTGAGACTCCCTGGGCCTCTGCCCTTATGGAAAAGACTGTTCCTGAATCGCAAAAGCAGTTCAGTCTGCCTTATCTAGATGCTGGCCAAGAGTACAGTCAGCAACTCAGGTGTGGTGATTCCGCCTGTGTGGCATTGGCTTTCTCTGCGAGGCGGCGTGTAGCGAGGCCGGTACGGTCCACAACCGGTCGCACCACCTCATTAAGGCCTCTGTCACGTGGCAGCTGTTAGCGGCTGTAGCCAGCTGTGTCTCCAAACTGTCTGATGATTTGATCAGCAAGCTGAAAAACAATTAGGTATACGTATATTGTATGTCGTGGATGTATATCGATTTGATTCGTAGTTTAGAAATATAGACTTTAAAGTCTGGCGTTACGATGTATGTATTCAGATATCTGTATAATGATAATAAACAACATTTTATAGAGCGATCCAGTTTTAATTATTTTTTATTCTCTCTGTTCATGACTTCATCCGTGCGACAAGATAAGGAGAAAAAATAACAGTTGATTATCCCAAATACTACTAATATAGGTAATTAACACACAATTAATTTAATATATTTTTTTATGGATGATAATGTAATGATGCTCCAGCTTGCGCTAACGGTTTACGGTGGCGGGGCACCAGTGGAGAACCATAAGATAAGCATGAGGTCAGGTCAGGTAGCCATGTAGGTCGCTTTCAGGTTTACCAGGTATAGGTCAACCTGACAAAGTACATTGCTAGATCATAAGTCCACATTACAAATAATCATCTTCCCCCATACAAGACCTATTAAACTATATTCAAATATCTTCAATAGTGTAACTTGGTAACTCACTTGGGCGGAAATAGTGCAGGGGCAATAATCATAGCGACATTATGTTCGCTCATCTTGTTGGTGTCGGCGCGCGCGACTATCTCCTGCACGAGCCGCAGCAATTCACGGAGCGTGGCGCGCTGCTCCGGCGGCAGGAGGAGCACCAGAAGGTTCAGGGCGCGGCCCTGCGTCGTGCCCGTCAGTGCTGTGGACCAAACATTTTTTTTATCGTAATTATTATGGCAAACAAGCTAAAGCAGGATATCAGATGGTAAGTGATCACTATTGCCTAAATATATGAACAGCACTACGACATCACTTTATCAACGCATGACTAATAAAGAGACAACACTTAAGATGTGATGTCGGCTGTTTCACTGAAAAACATCTTACAGCAGTTTTTAGCAACCTTTTTTGTGCTATGCTCCACCTTTTCCTTTCTAAAATTCTAATGCTCCCATATATAACATACATAATTTTAATATCAAAAATTGATTTGAAGATTTTAGAAATTAGGAAATCGTCAACAAACACAGTAAGCAAATTTTCAAAACATACCAAACTTTGAGTCCATTTACGAATTGCTCTCCTTAACAATCAAATTGTGGGTATGTTATATGCTTTAGATATTTTCTATGAGGTACCACAAGGATTCCATACATGGTATATGGGAATGTACCATGTATGCCCCAATATCGAGGAAGCTATAGAGGCATTACTCCTTAACAGGGCCCTCACACAAGGGCCATCACTCCTCCCAAAAGTCAATATTGTTCATACCGCTGTACTAACCGTAAGTATGGTAGAAGAGTCGCATAAGTTCTTGTGTGAGTGGCGGTTGAGGCAGCGCCCGCAGTAGCCGCTTGAAGACAGCGGCCAGGTCGTGGCTGCTGGCGCGAGACAGCGCTGCCTCCACGCTCGCTCGCTCCGAGTACCATTGTCGCTCGATTAGCTGACACAGCGCTTCGATCTGTAATCAATGTTCACATTAGGGTTTATTAATCACTCTGTGGTCTCGGGGTGGACCGCTACTCAAAATCATGACAGCCTGAGCTGAGTTTCAAACGCCTAGCGTTGCCCTCAGACTACAGTCTTTTTTTTCAGATTACTCTAATGCTGTTGGCCGCAGCTGGCCTTTACAATTTCACCGGACGATAGATAGTCATCTCCACTCGAGAGGAGATGGCACTCCAAACCCCCGGAAGGACTTCTGGAGCGGCTGAAGACCAACTCCCGCCTGACGGATACTAACTGACTTTACAACTTCACCGAACGATGAGGCCGTTCGGTAAAGCTGTAAAGGCCAGCTGCGGCCAACAGCACTAGAATAGGAAAAAGGAGGGTAGTGATACCTTCTGCTTGTTGCCGGGCACGCGCAGCAGCCCCTCGTGCGCGGCGCGCGCCCGCAGCGCGGCGGCGAGCGCGCGCACCACGCTGGGCACGCAGCTCCACGTCTCCTCCCACAGGATCACGTCCTTGCGGACCAGCGTCTCCAGCGACACGCCGAACACGACGCCCTCTGCGTGACACCAATTCGACAATTACTAATACATCAATCAATAAAAAGGTTAAGTATGGCCATTCAGAATATCCTTCAGTTCTTCCCTCGCACTCCCTCACGGATCTAGACCTGATCAGCTTTGAATAAGGGCGAACACAATAGATCTATACAGGTCGCTGTAGGTTTTAGCATCTGACAATAGTCCAAACCAAAGAGGAAATACCGCCAGTATCTTGAGTACGATGCCTCGATGTACCACGTTGGATTACAATGATAGTTTTTTTTTTATCGAGACTAACAAATGTCATTTCATTTTTATAAGAGAAGATATCGCTTCGTTTTAGGCGCTTAGGGTAAAGTCGTTCTAACAGTTGAGTAGCAGGTTTGAGTGGTTACAAGGGGGCTTTTTATATTTTCTTTTGGAATTCTATTTTACTGTGAGTATGCCAAGTTCTTCATAAATTTCGTTGGTGATGAATCAACGGATACCCGATATCACATTAAACATATGGGCCTACCTTCTTTCCTTTTCTTCTTGGGCGGTTTTCGCTTCTGGAATGGTAACGAGTAGCGGTCGAAGAGGGCAGTGAGTTCGAGCCAGAGCAGCGGTGGCAGTCGCTTCAGCTGTGGTTCGCTGACGCTCTCGATGTCCACGCAGCTGTTCTCTTCTGGCCACTCCTGGAATAAGGAAAACTATTGAAGCTTCACCATAGCCAATTCCTTAGAGAGAAGAGGATTACGAATGGAATATAATGGCCCATTCATAACAAAGTACCATGTCTGCCTGAAATTCTCGGTAGACTAGCGGTTTAGCACATTGCTTTAGGTTCGATTTCTCGCATGGTACTAATCCTAGACACGGGAACAGAAGACAGGGATGCCAAAGAACACGTTCGAAAGACGATATGAACCCGACTGTGGGCCCTCTCTGGAATAGGTTTGCAGAAGAGCACAATGGAGAGAGCTGGAGGAGACCTATGCCAAAAGGCGAACCGACTTGCGGGATATTTTGTAAACCACACAATGTATATCTTGGCTTGGGACTAGATGGCGCTGTGTGAATTGTCCTGAGATATTATTATTCGCAAACTTATGGATTAATCGCCTTACCTCTTCATTATCAAGCATCTGTTTATCCAGATTGAATTTATGCTCGAAACTGAGTGGCTGTGTTGACGCGACGCTCTTCGTCCGTGACACCACTGTATGTTTGCTTCTGAAATGTAGGTAATTAATTACAATATTAGTTTTACAGTCGCAAACAGAAAATTGAAATATCAACTTTTATTTAATGAAGAAAATATACTTTAATATTGGATATACTAAAGTATATTTTCTTCATATCAATAACATATAAATAAAATTAGAGCGTCTGTTTGTAATATTGAAATAACCGCTTTTTACTACATGCATATGAATATAAATACGGTACGTACACCAATATATATTTTTTTACAATTTTTGTATGTCTCTCTGTCTCTTTTTGTTCCAAATATTTTGTTTTTTTGGCACATGTAATGTATACTTTTATTTTAGAAAAATAAAGTTTAAATTCCACGCGGGCGAAATCGCGGGAACAGGTAGTTTATTAATAAAAATATTGTTGTTATAAGGCAAGTCCACCATACGCATTTTTATCTCTGTATTACATGAATTAAATCTATTATACATACATAACATTATTAAAACATATCATACATTATATGTTATGTATTTATACATAATATGTTATAAAATAAAATATACAATTAATAGAAAATCATATTACCAATGTGTTTTTCCTAATGAAGCATGCAACATTCAAAAGTTAAGGTTAGTTTAGTCGTTCGGTTTGTTATCGCTGTTTCCACCACCGGAGTGGTAGTTAGAAATATAAATTGACAGGCAAAGGTTTCTTGGTGTCAGATGATATAGATCCACGCATGTAGTCGCAGAGCTAGTAGCTAGTAGGTACTTACATAAATGAATCGTTGTCTTTCAGTATGGATCCGTTGATTCTTTCCTTTCCTATTCTTGGCCCCTGAACTGTTCCATACCTCTGGTAGCCTAAGAGTTCGATGCCCTCTGGAATATAACAATACAAAAATTTGGTATAACGTCCAAAATTCATACTACAAACTATTATTTATTGGAGGGATGGGGGTTATTAGTAATGGAGATTAGTGATCCCATTGCTAGCGGTGTACTATGTTAGGTTATCTTCACACGGTTCCCCTGGAAACCATCGTGGTAACTTGCCTTTTGCGAACTGACCTGACCTCATTCTCATTTTATCAATCTTCACTATTCCCCGCTAGTGTAAACCGTTATTGCAGGCGGGTGCTTCATTCCATTATCATCAATAAAAAATCCCTTTCTACGCAGTGATCCAGTGCTACAGGGAGCTGGTCCAATTCCTAGACCCCTCATGTTTCTCCAAACACTTTCATAACTCTGTATACTCGTATGTTCGTAAAGAGAATAGAAATCAGTATGACTAATATGTATTTACAAAAAAAAAGTGACGAGTATCCATAACACAAGCTCTAGCCTGGTACTAGATGGCGCTGTATAAATTGTCCTGAGATATTATTATTATTCCACAATCATCCACTACAAAAACAAAATGGCGATGCCAAAGAGAATAGAAATCAGTATGTCTGATATGTATGTATTTACAAAAATAAATGTATCTATGTATTCATATCAATTTTCTAGAATCCATTACACAAGCTCTGTTTAGTCTGTTACTAGATGGCGCTGTGTAAATTGTCCTAAGATATTCCACACTTATCCATTACAAAAACAAAATGGCGGTGTGAAAAACAAAATGGCGGTGCCAAATAGATATCAGTACTAACCTGTATTACTCGCAATGTCAGCCAAGTGTAAATCATTGGGCTTGAACAGCTCGTGCATGGGCAGAGGGGGGGAATGCGACGCAGGTGTGGGCGGGGAGAGGCGCGGGCGGCGGGGAGCCGCCGGCGCGGACGGGGTGCGTGCTAGTGGCGTATGAGTACCCACAGGCGGCAAACTATCACTGGAAATACAAAAGATAGAGTTACACTTTGTATAAAGTGTGATTAATCTACACAAATAGATATGCAGGGTATCTACACTCGCGAGCAACAAAATCGACTTAATCTACATTCAAACATTGTTCTAAAAGTATACAACATTACTTGAACGTAGAGTTTCAACAATGTTTGAATATAGAGGTAGCGCTTGAGTCGATTTGGTTGCTCGCGAGTGTAGTTCTGTAGTATCACTGGAAACAAAAAAGGCAGGGTTACACTTTGTACAAAGTCGGATTAGTCTACATAAATATATACTTAGGCTATCTATTTCTACAGATTAATGTATTTATTAATTAATTTTCGTAATGTTACAATATGGGTTGATATTATTATAAGAGCACTATAAACGTCTTAAGAGACTAATTATTTTGTACAATATTTTTTCTAATATTCTGATATTAGATTTCAGCAAAGAAGAACTGATAAGAAACTCAGTTCTTATTCTTTTCAATTGATCTTGTACATGTTTATAAAAATACAGATTCATGGTAAAATTAAATAAGTCTAATGAGTTTTTCGTTATAGTCGTGAATACTATATATATATCTAAATATCTTTAATTTGATGTCGGTAGGTTATTCTATACGTATGTACCATACAGACAGACCATATTTAGTTACAATTGCATGTAACGGATTCCTTATCATTTCCTTCCTGTCCGACATATTGCAACATTTTATATTTATATGCCTATTAATAATGATTATTATTGTTATGGTATGTATACATACAGCCCTACAATTTTCTATTCTCATATATCAAAAAGGTATATATAAATAAGGTCATCACATGACGTGGTAATATTATATAGTCGGCAGTCGCCAATTTCCATCATGTGAGCCTATTCCAGTAGATAATATTATATAAGCAGCACTGGGTCAATATCCATCGTGTGGACCAGTTCAAGGAGCGAAAAGTTCGTCACATGACGACTTGGTTATATATATAAGCGACAGTCTCCAATATCCATCGTGTGGACCTATTCCAGTAGCAAAAAGTTCGTTGTACAACTACGTAGTAATACATATAGGCGGCTGTTGCCAATTTCCATCATGTGGGCATGTTCCAGTAGCAAAAATGTTGTCACATGACGTGATAATATCATATAGGCGGGAGTCGCCAATTTCCATCGTGTGGGCCTGTTCCACTAGGAATAAGCATACTCACACGAAGTCTGGTGGCAGTGCACTATCAGCCCACTCAGCCGGCGGGCTGCCAGACCCACCACTGGGCAGCGAGTCCAACGAATCGGGAGTCGCACTGCGCGACCTCGGCTCGCTGCCGCTTGAATTCTGAAACAAACAAACAATACACCGTTAATACATAATTTAAAAAAATATATTAGCATTCTGCACTCATTTATATAAATTACTAGCTACATACATATAAATCTCTCTCTTGAATCACTATATTGCTAAAAACTGCATTATAATCCGTTGCGTAGTTTACAAGAACTAAGCGACCGGACAGCGGAAACTTCATTTTATACTACATATATGTTTATAAGTTATTTATGTACTGTGAAAACACAAAAAAATACTAAATATAGTCACTCAATTAGTCAGTCAGTCAATAATAGCCACGCATATAATGCACACACGCACACTTTATAAGTGTGCGTTTTTTTTCGTACTCCTCGGTCCACGCAATGTTGGTAAAGTCAAAAAAACTTAATCAATAAAATAATAATATAAGTTTTTTTTTTATTTTTACGAATAATAATAAAACATAAAGCATAGTAGTAGTAATATAAGGCTAAAGCGGGCCCTGGACAACATCGTACCTAATCCGGGCCGGCCATTATCATTGATGATTCGGCATGATTCGCACACATTTCATTTATTATAAATATCACGTTATTCTGTTACATAAAAATTAAAGACCTATTTTAAGTCCCATAAATATGCGTAGCTTGTCTAGGCATAGTCCGTCCGTACATCTATGAAAAATAGAATAAATAGTAATAATCTTAGTTTAAGTGAACTCAATTTTAAGCACATTTCAATAGGTACAATTTTAATGTATTACACTTATTAGAAATGCAAATTCAATTAAGAAAAATGAACAAGCAACTTAACTGTAAGTTGCTCTTTAAAACAAATTTTGTTAAAACAAACTTTACATAATGTCAAGATTAGGTAGACTGTGTTAACACAAACTATTTGTGTGAACACAGTCTATCTAATAGGACGATTTCATAAACAAGAACAAGTGGGTGAGAAGTCAAAGTAAAAATTATTTAATCATGCAGGAAGACACTTTCGGCTACTTACACAAGTTCTGTTTTTTTTTTACCTAATTCTTATCTAGGCCAGCGATTTCAGTTGAGAAGAACTGGCAAGAAACTAAACTGTTTTTTCTCAACATTTATTGAATCAGCTTCAAAGCAAGAAAATTAATCAGTCATAGCCGATTCATGAGTATACCAAAAGTTCTAGCACTAAAAATAATAATAGTAATGTACATGTATTTGTTAATTAACTATTTGAATGCGCTTTTCCTTTGAAATCATCGCAGTGAATTCTTCACAATGATCTAAGAGAACCGACTTCATTTTCATCCCATCATCTACTGGTACCTTGCATACACCAATACTGCTAATGGGTCACAATTCAATCATAATCAATCAAAAAATTATGATATTTACAACGCTAATGTCCGGTTGTTTGACAAACATAGAATCTCCGATTGAATTAGGGTTATCGTATGTACAAGATTCGTCCTCGTTTTGAGGGCATTCAGCCAAGGTTATTCTCATTACCTACAGATCGACTTAAGTTCCGCATCAGTTCCATATTTACCATTTAAACGTCACAACTGACTTACGAATATATTATTACATAATTCAAATTCTCAATCTAATACGACGGGCTCGTGAATCTAGCGATTTATAGCACACCGCTTTACTTGCAATGGTCGTGGGTTCGATTCTTCGCATGTGCAAATATTTATATTCATGAGTATGATTGATTGCATGGGTGTTATATATGTGTATTTTAAAAAAATAGATAAGTATTTGTATCAGCTGTCTAGTACTCAAAACACAAGTTCTAGTTAGCTTGGGACTAGATGGCGCTGTGTGAATCGTATTAGGTTATATCTTGATTTTGTTATCGGTATTACGTTGTTCTGTAGTTAACACCAAAATAGAAAATACTTTTTTTACTTAGCCTCAATTTCGCCTGGGTGCTCATAAATTTGTAAATTTTGTCCTAATTATAGCGTATGTAACTCTAGCATAGTCCAGAAAGAGAATTTCTCAAATCGGAGATAGAAATAGTTCCGGAGCTTATTTTGTTACAACAAGAACCACTCTCTACCTCATTACCATAATGGTACCTACAGATGTCATTCAAAAGAATACTAGAAATGTTCCTCTTACAATATTCTAGCAGAAATCTGCATTTAAATCTGTTAGTAATAAAACATATATCCCGTTATGAGTAATTATCATTTCAATAAATTTTATAACTTATATTGTTATGATACATATAGTGTGAGAACATAGTGCAGTCATATTGCTGTATAGGCAAAATAAACATACATTATTATACGGATTTCCGTGTAATGTACAATGCTCAAAGATTTCATATTTATTCAAAGGGCATAAAGTTTTTATTTGAATAACAATAATTTCTTTGTCTAATATATTGTAACTAGCAGTGCCTGCGGTTTCTTCCGCGTTAAATTTCATTAAAAATTATAGCCTATATGTTATTCTGATGCATAAACTATATTACTGTAAAGTTTCATGAAAATCCGTTCAATTGTTTTTGCGTGAAAGAGTAACGAATATCACACTTACAAACTTTCGTGTTTATAATATTACTAGCTACTCGCCCCGGCTTCCCCCGGGTGTACATGTATTATATATATAAACCTTCTTCTTGAATCACTCTGCCTGTTAAAAAACCGCTTCAAAATCTATTGCGTAGTTTTAAAGATTTAAGCATACAGACGGACAGATAGCAACAGCGACTTTGTTTTATACTATGTAATGATTAAGATTTATTGTAAAACATTAATGAGTTGAGTGTATGTTGATTTTCCACATGGAAACTTCGTATAAAGAGACAGTTTTTCTCCGACGTGATAGAAAGCACGTGCTAATAATTGCTTGATAGCGGCGTGAGAAGCGACATGTCTCCGTAACCTGCCCATTAGTCTTTCACCATGAAAAAAAACACAAATAGGTATGTGATTGTTCCGTTAATGAAAAGAGAAACTATTATTACGTATTGTCTCCACACTGTTATGCAAGTTAGAAAGCTATACATAAAAGCTAGTTTAAATGCTATAGAAATGTAGACATTCCATCTAATTATAATTCAAATCAAATCAAATCAAAATTGTTTTATTCATGGAGGACATTTTAGCCGCTTAGGAACGCTAAAATTTCACGTTCATACAATAATAAGCAATTTCCAAATACTAATAATAGAATAATTTGTGTACACTGATAAAAGTTGTTTGATAAATAATAAATAACTCTGGACAATTAACACAGCGCCATCTAGTCTAACTGTGAGCAGAGCTTGTGATATCGGTACTAGACAACTGTTGTTTTTTATTTTTGTAATTACATATATAATATACATAGAAAACAACCGATACAAACAATCATACTCACGAATACAAATGTTTGCACCGTGCGAGAAATCGAACGCGCGACCATGGCAAGTGAAGCGGCGTCTTAAAACGCTAGACTACCGAGGCCGTCTATCACTCTTAGTTGAAAATTATTTAATATATGTTTAGTATTTTTTAAATTTTGTGATAATTAGGTTCGATATAATGGGGTTGACATGTTTGGTAATTTTTCGGTTTGATATTTTATTTTTAAATGCACAACGATTTAACGCGTTATTATGTACTATTACGTAAAATGAAGCGTTTATTTAAATGATACATCATTTTACATAAGTCTATCTCATTACTTCTCTAGTGTCTAAGTGGAAGTGTCATCAACTTAGCTGGAGGGTTTCCGTTCTCGCAAACATACTTGGAGTATTATGTACAAGGAAATTGCTAATACAAGTACAGTGAGTTTCATATAGAACGCAGCTCTAAGAATGATAAATCTTTGGAGACATAAATTTAATATTATTTATTTATTTATTAAAGTAAAACCAAAGTTATTTAAGTATATCTTAAATAAAATCAATATAGACGTCATACTAAGCCACTGACAGACTTTCACTAATAATAACAGACTAATTAAAAAAATTATATAACTACGTATAAAGGCAACAACACATTATAAAGTTAACAGAGAATATTAAATTAAACTATAAGAATAATAGTACCACTCATCCTGTACAAAGGAAGACCTAAAAATACTACTAAATGCGCTAAAGTCGTCACTTTTTTTGGGATAACTTTGGCTACATTTAGTTGTCATTGAATCGAAAGAAGAAATATTATAAGAGATAGACTATAAGAAGTCGTGTGTGAGACCTCATTCTCACCTATTTCAACGCTAAAAGATTAATGAATGGGAGAAAAGCTGAAAGTTAATGATAATATAACATATTGTCCAATTACGAAATATACTTAAGTGTGTTTAGAAGATTACTTGAGAAACTCTGCTTAGTTTGGTCTACTTTTAAAATAGTTCCAGTCTTATTGCACTGGATGGTAATTATGTTCAAAAGTAGCACTCCCCGGCCTATCACTCCACTACATAATGACCACGACCGTTCCGTCTAGAGCGACCAAGAAGAAGATTACCTACGCGTAAGTATTCATACATATGTCATTGACTTAACTGACTTTGTTATTGATTTACTCTCGTACTGCTTTATTGTAGACAAGGAACCCGTTTCCGCTTCGAACGGATGCATTACAAAACTTTTATTTTCTCGGCTGTGGTACATATAAACATTCCTCTTGAATTATTCTGTCTATTGCTGACAACTGCATTAAAATCCGTTGCGTCATTTAACAGAGTAAAAAATATTTTTTTAAAAATTCTTTTACTCCGTTGATGAGATTTTTAATAAAAGATATATATTTAGAAATTATTATCATTTTTTTTTATTATTATTATTATTATTACCGGGAGGGATATTATTCATAATAATTTTGTATTTTAAATTCGACACAATATTTATTGTTAAGAATTATAAGTAAATAAATAAAAGATATAAGCAAGCAGTCTGCGGTGGTAACTTTGTTTTATAGATTACTAGCTACTCGCCCCGGCTTCGCACGGGCTTACATGTATTATATATATATATATAAACCTTCTTCTAGAAACACTCAATCTATTAAACAAAACCGCTTCAAAATC